GATACTTATATATATATATATATATATATATGATACTGTTTAAATTATTAGAAATTTCAAATCAAGTGATACTAGACATTATTCTACATCTATTGGTGGTTAGTTACAGAGATACCATTCACAAATATAAAAGTCATTTTATTGGTTCTTTTCATCCAACTTTTTTACTGGTGTCTAGTCTTATTAAGCTATTGGCCAAATTAAGCGAGTAAGAATCCTTGGTAGAACGTCAAATGTTTGCATGACTGCATGCATGCAGATGTGAAGGGGATAAAAAAGTGGGAGACAGTATATGACAATCCCATCTTGGGGTTTAGGCTGATTTAAAGTTGATCCAATTCATATATATATATATATATATATATATATAAATATATTTACTTCAAGAGTAATTATTGGTAAACTAATTTCACTCAGTGATTCATGTTCTATATCAAATTTTAACGATTCAATCGTTGGATTAAAATTTTTTAATGCATAGATTTTGTCGTCTAAAGTATCAAGGTATTAGAATTTTTGAAATGTTCTAAACTTTGGGGTTTGGGATGTTAGTATCAAGCATAAAGTTATCAATTTGGGCTGCGTTATACATTAAATTATATGATTACTACGTTAAAAATTAAAATGATATTTTCAATGCAAGTTTCAATTAAGTTAAAAATGGGTTTGACGGATATTGTAGATCCATATATACCCAATTATGTAAATGGGTCAATTTAAAGTTTCAAGTTTCAACTTGGATTTAACTCATTTATTAATAATGTTTAGCGGGTCAACTCCTTTTTCTACCTGAACATGTGTAGGCCAACACAAGTTCTGTACAATAGAGTGGATGTTTTAATTCTTTGAGTGGTACATTAATTATAATATAATTTGATGGAGTGAATAACGAGTTTTGTTTAAATGTGAAAGATTGTTATGATAAACACTCCTAAGTGTTCGTTTTATTTAAATATTTGTGAAATTATCCATTACTGTTTGATACTAATGGTTCTATCAAACATTGATTGATTTGTTCTGCTGTTAGGCCATGTTAAGAGAATTGAGCAATTAAAGGAGGCTATGTTTTGAATAATATTCACATTGACTTCACTGACTATAATGTATCTCTTTGTTTTCAACAGTTTTTGGGTAATCTACGGAATCTTAGAGATTCACATGCAGCCCTTGCCTTTGGTTCTTCTGAGACATCCGACGGGCCTTCATCCGTCACAAGAATAATCTCTGAATGTGAATCTGCATTGACAGTCTTAAATCGTGATCTTGGAATTCTCTCTGCTTCCATTGCACGTGAACAGGGAGAGAAGATGAACATTTAATGAAACATGAGAAATTTATTAATCCTTATTCTTTTGGATTTTGTGAACTTGTGCATAATGTTCATATTGTTAACATGAGACGTGTTAATGTGAAGTCCGCATAGTTGTATTATCCAGACTATAATTTAGAATTTGCAATGTAAGCAAGTTTGAAATACTGGGTGTATGTAAACACGTGGAGGGTCTGAAGAGTGATACATAGACATGTAAACTCGGATTAGTGTACCCAATACTAAAATATTATTGAGAAACTTAATCACAGTACCCAATTAATATATAAAACATTAAATAATGTAAATTATGAATACACACTATTCAGGGCATGGAGTAATTATTATCCTTCATAGATATGTCAATTCACAATGATCAACTAATCATGTAATTCTCGACTAGTCTACAAGTTTAGACAAAAAAAGGCAAGACCAATATCAATGAAGTTTTGCGTGCAGTGGCCGTAGATGGTGGTCGTGAGTTGTGGTCCTGCAATCGCAAGTTTGTCTTAGCCTAGCAAATGAGCAACCTGGTCACAGGTGGTGGTTCTAAGTTATCAAAGATTGCAGGTGACTTCATTGTTTTGCAGCATATCGCCGACATAGAAGTGATCAACAGAAGTGAAGACATCACCATCGAAGTCAAATGGAGTGTAATTTAGAATGAGACGTGATTTTGTTGAATAGAATAAAGGGGTGGGAAAGCCCTTGTAAAATGACCATGTTTTCAGTTTCGGGGGCATTTTACAACATTGATTGGCTCAAATCTTGTTTGAGATTTTTTTTTTAATATTTAGTTTGTAGTTTCCATTTTTTTTATTTTAGAAATTTATCAACAACTAACCCCGGTGTAAATGCTAGTTCTTTTAACTTGTATCTGAAAACTGTAATTAAGATTTCACATATCTAGAATCATTTCTCTTATAAATTTTATTTGTTATAATGATTTTAAATAATTTTTTTTATTAAAGATTGTATTATTATTTTGATTGTTTTTGCTATTAATTTGATGCTTTTAATTTAGAAGAACTTTTAAACAATAATTTATCACAATTTGCATCTTTTAATCTTAGAATTATAAGAATGTCTCATTAATTTTTTTTATACTAAAACAAACATAATTTTGATTAAATTATAGAACTTCAGACTCTCATTAATGTTTATAATCATGGACTATTGTCATTTTTATTTTGACTAAAATATAAAATTTGATATTGATAGTTATAAGATATCTTATTTCAAGAGTCTTTATGATTATTTTATTTTCTCTAAAAAGAAGCATTAAAATCTGAATTTTATTATGTTGATTTTTTTGTTTTATTTATTTATTTTAGTATTTTATGCAAACTTAACAACTATATTAAATAAAATAATAATGTCACGAACATCACCCCATCATATTGTTTCATGTTAAACAAGTACATTTGTTATTATATCTACTTAACCATAACAAGACAAATATAAATACAATAAAAAGAGATTGGAAACATTATCAATTGGAAAAGGATAATACTTATATAGAGTTACTGGAACGGAGTCGCGATTGAAGATATAACTTTATCATTTAAGAATGAAGTAAGTTATATTTTTTTTTTATAAAAAAAAAAACCAATATCTAACTTGTAAATGAAATAGGCATAAAAGGCAAAAGGACCCAAAAAGTAAAAAAAAAAAAAAAAAAAAAAGAGTGGATGCTAGGACCTAGGGCCAACCTTGATTTTTTTATTGTCATGAATAAAGTGAAAAAAAATGATGCCCTCATAATTATTTAAATACATAAATAATTAAAAGTATAAAATACAAACAATTAATCGTGAAACACATTCATATAAAATTATGAGTTATTCTCAAAGAACATTAAACTTTGAAAAAATGGATCAACAATGATGACATCACAAAGAAGTTTATCGTGAAAAGATGTATGTTCACGATTTGATATTGACATTTAAGCGAAATAAAATAGGATGTGATTTAAAAAACAGAAAGAAAATGAAAGAAATTAAAGATAAAAGAAAAAAGTTAAAAATAATCCTTATTAATAATTTTACATTAATACTTATTGAAAATCACATCGAAGAAAAATAAAAAGAAATAAGTTAATAGTATACCATTTTTCTCTTTACATTTAATACTATTGATTTTTGTTGACTAACAAGAAAAATAATCATTGATTAATTGTTTGAAATTAATTTATTTTCTTTAATACATTTTTATATAATTTAAATATGTAATTTTTTATATATTATATAGACTAAATAATATTTATTTTGATGTCCCTCTAATAACAAGGTCTAAAGTGATCAACCCACCAGCTCATGCTTAGGGAAACCAATGCTTGGACAAGATGTAGAAGGAACAAATGCTAAAGGATCCAAAGGCTTTTTGACTAAAGTGGGGTTGTTTTAAAAGTTTATTACGCAAATGAGGTTGTTTTGAAACCATTTATGCCTTTGGGGTTGTTTATAACGGTGTCGCTATGGCCCATAGCGACACTGGTGGCACGTGACATTTTTTTTGTTTTGGTCTTGGTTGGCTGGAATGAGTCACATGAGTGTCGCTATAGGCTGGACCACCACAGTTGATGGACTAAGAAAAATAACGTAGCCCATAGCGACACTCTGTAAAGAAAAAAATAAAAAAAAAATGAAAAATAATAGAAATGTAAAATAAAAATAATAAACTGAAGTATTTATTATATATTTATAAAAAATATTAAGTTTTATAAAAATATAATTTTAAATTAAATTATATGTATTTTTTAAGAGAGGCGCTATGGGCCATAGCGCTACACATTTTGTATTTTTTTTTTGCAATAATGACATTTTATTTTTAATTTTGCGTTTTTATATTTATAATTAAAAGTACAGAAACTAAATAATTAAAATAAAAGTATATTATAATATGTTAAATTTTAAAAAAATTGTGGAAAAAATAAGTAAAAAAATAAAAACGAAAATTATTTTATAAATATGTTAATTTTTAAAAAACTGGGGAAAATTATTTATTTTTTAAATATTAACATTTCATTTTAAAAACTTAATTTTTATATTTTTAATTAAATAAGTACAGAAATAAACAAATTTAATTAAATTTATATTTTAAGTATTTTGTTTAATATAATTAAAAATATATTTTCAGTAATTTGTTAATAAATTTAATTAAAAATAATTAATTGTGTAGTTTAAAGAAAATTTATTATTTAAGTGTATTAATAATTTTTTTATATGTAAATTTAAAAAAAACTGGGCAAAAAATAAGTGAAGGGAAAAAATGTAGAAAAACACAAAAAAAAAGAGAATTATAAAAATAAATTTTAAAAAAAACTGGTAGAATAAATCTGGAGAAAAAAATGACCCAATAACAAAAAAAAAACAAAAATTAAAAAAAAAAACTGAGGTAAAAACACGAAAAAACTAAAAATAAAAAGGCTGGTCGCTATGGCCCATAGCGACTTTTTGTCGCTATAGCCCATAACGACTTTAAGTAGCAAAAAAAATGAAATTTTTGAAAAAAAAAAAGGCTAGTGTCGCTATGAGCCATAGCGACATTGTGTCGCTATAGTCCATAGCGACACTAGTTTTTTTTTTTTTTTCAAAATTTTTGTTTTTTTGGGTTATTGGATCTTTTTTTTTCTCCAGATTTGTTGTACTAGTTTTTTTTCTAAAAATTATTTTGTAATTCATTTTTTTTGTATTTTTTATTATTTCCATTTGTTAAAAATTATTATATACTCAACATTCTAGTAAATTATTTTACAAAAATTTATTTAATTCCAGTAAATTATTAACTTAATTTCTTTTTTTCAAATTTTAATTTATATTATCAATTTCATATAAATATATATTTATAAATTTATTATTTCTATAATTTTTTTTATTTTATACATATTTTTTTTTTTTTATCTATTTAAATATTTACAAAAGTGGCGCTATGGCCTATAGCGACACTATTTTTTTTCTTCTAAATTATCAACCTAATTTGTTTTTTACATTTGAATTTATTTTTTAAGTCGTTTGGTGGCGCTATGGGCTATAGCGACTTTATTTAAGCCATTTAGTGGCGCTATGGGCTGTAGCGACTTTATCTATATGGCTTTCATGGCTTCCCTGAAGTGAAAAAAAATGCCACGTGTCACCAGTGTCGCTATAGGCTATAGCGACACCGTTATAAACAACCCCAAAGACATAAATACTTCAAAAATAGCCCCATTTGCGTAATAAAATTTTAAAAGAATCCCACTTTGATAAAAAAAACCGGATCCAAAATGTACAAGGATTGAATACAAAAACTCAAGATGTAAAAGGTGTGGACGCGAGGATCCAAAATGTAAAAAATATAAAATAAAATGAGCGTATATATAAAAGAAATGAGTGCAAGAACCCAAAGTTGTAAAATAAGTGTATTCGAGATGTAAAAGGAGTGGGCGCAATGAACCAAAATGTAAAAGGAAAAGACATACGGTTTCAAAGTTTTAAAAGAAGTTGGTGGGGACCCAAAATGTAAAAAAAAAAAAAAGGGCATGGAGACCCAAAAACCTAAGATTTAAAAAGTGAATGCAATGACTCAAAATGTATGACTATAGAAATCCAAAGTTGTAAATGAAGTGGATGCGGTGATCCAAAATGTAAATGGAGTAGGAGTTGTGACATCTTTATTAGCCCCAACACATATATTGCAATAATGTAAATAAATTAAGGAAATAAATTTTTCAACATCAGTAAAAAGGTTCACATAAAAACCTTCATAAATGTTCTTCAATATCCAAAATAAATAAAAATTAAAAAATAAAATAGAAGAGTTTACAAGTTATTTTTAAAATAATAAGTACAACTCCAAATCCATATAAAATTTTCATGTTCTAAAAATCCTCTGTCCTGATGTCACAATATTAAAGAATACCCACAATTCAACTGTTGGCATTCTAGATGCCACTCATAGCCGGATCTTCCTCACCTAAAATATCCATAAATTATACGATGAGAAAAGAAAACATCTATATGTAAAGCACATAAGGAAAATCCACAACATTGTCTCATCATAACTCATTACTTAATGAAATATTTACAAACATTTCTATATATCCTAATTCTATCAATCATGCAACATCTTCACATCTCAATTCACAATCACATCAATTCATCACAAATCTTGCAATTAACCCTATGCCAAGGTGACGCCTGTAGCATTTCTTGCCCAAGGTCATGCCACCCCCGACATAAGTATTAATTGTCTCACACATC